TCAGTAACACTTGTCGTTCACTTCGTTCCCTGCCACTGGACCCACACCACTGAGTACTGTTTGGTCAATTCACTTTCTTGTTTTCCATGAAAATATCACAGTTCCTTCACTACATTCCTTCACTAAAAAGAAAAAACCAGGAGCTTGAGAGACGGCTCAGTGGTTATGCTCCTGCATCACGTGGATTCTGCTCTTCACCCATGACGGGCGAATCTCACAACTTCCTGCAGCTCTAGTTCCAGGGCATCCAGCACCCTCATCTAGACTCCTCCAGCACCTGCACACACACACACACACACACACAAACATGCACACACTAGTAAAAGTAAAAGAAGAATCAGGCTGGGCAGTGGTGATGCACGCCTGAAATCCCAGGGTTTCTTTAATGAAACCCTGTTTTGAAAAACCAAAAGAAAAAAATAAAAGAACAAAAACTTACATATAGTAAAACTGACCTTTTTCTACACAGTTTTGTGACTTTTTGTTTGTTTGAAACAGGGTCTCTTGTACGTATGCAAGGCTGGCTTTGACCTCCTGATCTTCGTGCCTCCACCTCCTAAGTTCAGGGATTGCAGGCATGTACCACCATGCTGGGTTTATGTGGTGCTGGGGATGATCTCCGCGCTTCATGCATACCAGGCAAGCACTCTCCCAGTTTCAGTCTGTCTGGTCTACATGGAGGCCAGATGACTACCTCCAGTGTCGTTCCTCTGGTGCCCTCCACCTTTCATTCGCCAAGCAGGTTGGTTACACAGGCTGACCAGCACTGTCTCCACCTCCCTTTGCTGAGATTACACACAGATGTTGTGTGCATATGCACATGTGTATATAAACAGTGTATGTGCAGGTAAAGAAAAACCACTGGAAGACAGCTCTCTGCTTCTACTGTGAGTTGGAGGAATTGAATTCTGGTTGTCTGGCTTGCATGGCAGTTGCTTACCTGTTTTCCCGTGTGTGCCTTAGCATGGATTCTGAGGGTTGAAATGTGCTAGTGTTTTCAAGGCAAGCATTTTGCTCCTTGAAATATCTCTCCAGCGCTCTGTCTTTAAACAGCTCCCCTTGAATGCCCTGTCATGGCACATGAATCCTGGGTCACGGTCTCTTGCTATTTCCAAATAAACTCAGTGCTCTGGACAGTCTCTGTTTCTGTTAGTCATTTTAGGTCGGCGTCATTCCAGTGGCTTTGTAGTTCTGAAACTTCAAAGTGGGAGTCCTTCAGCTTTATTCGTTGTCAAGGTTGTTTTGCCTAGAATGAAATCTTATGATCCTAAGTCTGATCAAGTGCCTCTTGCTTACAATCAGTCACATTTAATGATGCCGCACAATCATCATCCTGACTGGCACTGTGAGGTTTGGAGTCCAGCCCTGCCTGCTTTCGTCTCTTCATCTGCCCCCTTGTTCCCTGCCTAGGAACTACACTGTCCTTTTCTCCTTGACAGTGTTCGAATGCCTTCTCAGCGTGGGCTCTTGAGCTCAGCATGCCCTTCACTTCACGCTGCCTCACTCCTACTCATTCTTCAAATCGTAGCCTAAGTGCCACTTTGACAGAAAGACTGGTGGCTGGAGAGTGGGTTCAGTGGTTAAGAGCACTGCCTGTTCTTCCATAGGTCCTGAGTTCAATTCCCAGCCACCACATGGTGGCTCACAACCATCTGTAGTGAGATTAGATGCCTTCTTTTGGCCTGCACGCATGCATTGCTGATAGAATACTGCATATATAATAAGACACTGTATACTTAATAAGTAAGTTTTTTTTTTTTTAAAGGAAAGACTGATTTGAGGGAAGGCTTTAGTAATGTGCTTGCCTAGCAAGCACAAGGATGTGAATTTGACCCCCAGAACCCATGTAAAAAAAAAAAAAAAACAACGCCGAGTGTGGTGGTGCTTGCTTGTAATCCCAGTGCTGGGAAGGTAGAGACAGGTCTAGCCTCGGGGCTCCCTGGTTTGTCAGTGTGACAAGTGGTGAGTTCCAGGCCAAGAGAAATCTCTGTCTCAGGAGGTGGCTGGTGTTTCTGAGGATGACACCAAGGTTGACCTTTGACTTCTATATACAGACACACACTCACACACATCACACGCACACACACACGCACACGCACACGCGCGCACACACACACGCACGCACAAGGACAAACATTGAGTTGAGACATCTGGCACCAGCTGGTTATTTGGCCCTTTGGTTCTTTTGTTGTTGTTGTTGTTTGTTTAATGTGCATTGGTGTTTGACATGCATGTCTGTGTGAGGGAGTCAAATCTACTTGAGTTACAGACAGTTGTGAGCTGCCATGCAGGTGCTGGGAATTGAACTCAGGTCCTCTGGAAGAGCAGCCAGTTTTGTTAACCACTGAGCCATCTCTCCAGCCCCCTTCTTATATATATATTTTTTATGTCCTGCTGAGTTGTTTCCTGTATGTTTAAAATTGTCATGTTGTGTGTCATCCTTGGGCCTGTCGTTTGGGTGAAGCAGACCCTCGGCTCTATAGAATGCCCCCCTCTTCTAGTTTGGGAAGGTCCCCATCGTCCTTATAATATAGTTCTAATTTCATCAACCAGAACGTTGCTGTTCCAGGGTTGACTCTTACTCTGTTTTTTGTTTCTTGGTCTTCTTGCCATTGTTTTTTTTTTTTCCTTCCCATATACTCCCTTTTAAATTAAATCCTGGGATAACATCTTAGGAGTGCCTTCCATATAATGGTTACTATTTTGTATTAAGACTTTTTAGTGCTGTATTGCTACCAGTTGTCTTAATTAATGCTTTTTATTTGTAGTCTTTTTTTTTTATTTATTACGTATACAATATTCTGTCTTGTGTGTCTGCCTGCAGGCCAGAAGAGGGCATCAGATCTCATTACACATGGTTGTGAGCCACCATGTGGTTGCTGGGAATTGAACTCAGGACCTTTGGAATAGCAGGCAATGCTCTTAACTGCTGAGCCATCTCTCCAGCCCCTTGTAGTCTTTTTTAAATTAAGTCAATCTTTTTTTTTTAATCTCAGTGTATTTCTCAGGGTTCTTGATTGAAGTCTGTGCAATGCCTTACAGAATACTAGACGCTCCATTGCATCAAATGGATTAATAAATGAATAAACAAAAACCAGATTTTGGTTGGTATAGTTCGCTGAGACCATTAAACCATTTTTAATTATGTATTCATTTTTAGAAAACAGCTGTGTTGAGGTGTGATTTGCATGTCATAATACTCACCCATTGTTCAAGTTCAATGATTTTATTAGATTTTTAGTTGTGCAACTGTGACAACAGAACAGTCAGGAGATTTTCATCTACTGGACAAAGTCCATACTGCCTGTTGGCAGTTAAATTCCTGCTTCTGCGGACTCTTCTTTCTGTAAGCTTGTCCGTGTAGATACACTGTGTATGGGTGTATGGGTGTTTGATTAGTGCGTGGCTTATACCACTGAGACATTAAGCTCTTCCACCCATACATCTGGCCTGGAGCAGGGTAGCTGTCAAGTTCAGGCTGTTTGTACATCTACATCTTCCTTTCCCTTTTACTTTTTCCCTTTCCCCCTTCTCCTTCTTTAATTTTTTTTTTCAGACGGTATCTACTAGTCCAGTCTGACCTAGATCTCAGTATATAGCCCAGGCTAGCACCAAGCTCCTGGCATTTTACCTGCCCTCAAAGTCTTAGGATTGTAAATCTGAGCCATACAAACTTCTCCATTCCTGACTTCTTTGTGCCTGTGTTGCTCAGCGGTGCCATAGCCTCAGCCTTCTAGAGTTGCTCACTTTGTTCAGCTTGGCAGTGCACTTGGGCACACGTCTTGTTCCCCACCTTAGATTAACAAGCTCCCTCCACTTAAGAGCAAAAGCTACCAGTGCCAACTGTTCACTGTCCTGCTGCCCATGTTACCTACTGAGCTGGGGATGGCGGAGTTACAGACTCGCTGTTCTGACCTGCTTTTATAGTGTTCAGTTGTAAATGTTTTTAGGTTGTTTTAGTCCTTTGATTTCCAGAGCACTGAAAGGCCCAGTTGTTAATCAAGCTATAATTGCCGAGGGGAGGGGGGATTGGCTGCGTTGTCACTGGGCCAGAGCTGGAAGTCCTGACTCTCAGAATATATTCTCCTCCTCCTTTTCTAAGATTTTTAAAAATTTTTATTTTATGTGTGTGGGTATTTTGTCTATGTGTGTGTGTGTCTGTCTGTATATATGTATCACATGTGCCTGGCACCCGTGGAAGCCAGGAGAGTCCATCAGATCCCCTGAAACTGGAGTCATAGATGATTATTAGCCACCATGTGGGTGCTAGGAATTGGACCCATGTTCTCTGTAAGAGCAGCAGGATGGCTCAGCCATCTCCCCAGCCTAGAATGTATTTCATCTCTAGTATATCCAGTCACTTCTCCACATAGATATTTTTTTTTCTGTTTTAGTTAGCATCCTGCTGGAAAACAGAATCAGTAGGGTATGTTTAGAGAACACAGACACACACACACTCACACTGACTCTCTGCGGGTGGGGAGGATGGAACAGTGAGAAGATTGATGTGTATTTCTGTGTGTAGCAATTTGAATACAAGTGGAATGTATTTAATATTTGCTAAATTTGCTGTTAAAAATGGTTTTGTTTTTCTGTTATGAGCCAGGTGCATAGTTTCATGTTTGTTAAATAAAAAAAATGCTGTTTCTAATTATAAGCATTTTTTGTTTGTTTGAGGGGATGGGGCTCTCTTCTAGAGGGTCTTCATGGTAGGCAAGCACTCTGCCATTAGGCTGTATTCCCAGCATCTTTTTACTTTGAGGCAGACTTACGAAGTTGCCCACGCTGTCCTCGAATGTAGACTGGCCTTAATACAGTCTGCTGGTCTCAGCCTCCTGAGTAGCTGGGTTATAGACCTGCACCATGTGCCTCACTGTTTGCTCACATCTGTGGATCTTACATTCTTAGGAGAGTCAAGCATCCAGGTCGCTTCTGCTGCTTTCTGGCTAGAACCATTGCTGACTGGTACAATCATAATGTAATCTTTGTTTTTCTACCAGATGCTGACCATCTTTCTGAAGTAGAATCTCCATGGCCTGAACATTTCTTGACAAAAATAATTTTGAGTAAAATATATGTTTAAAAAGAAGATAACCACATCAAGATGGTGGGAAAACTGAAGCAGAACCTACTTTTGGCATGTCTGGTGATTAGTTCTGTGACAGTGTTTTACTTGGGCCAGCATGCCATGGAGTGCCATCACCGAATAGAGGAGCGCAGCCAGCCAGCTAGACTGGAGAACCCCAAGACGACGACTGTGCGACCTGACCTGGACAGCAAAGCCAACCAAACATTCACCTATCACAAAGATATGCCTTTAATATTTATTGGAGGTGTGCCCCGGAGTGGAACAACGCTCATGAGGGCTATGCTGGATGCACATCCTGACATCCGCTGTGGAGAGGAAACCCGCGTCATCCCTCGGATCCTTGCCCTGAAGCAGATGTGGTCCCGGTCCAGTAAAGAGAAGATCCGCCTGGACGAGGCTGGTGTCACTGATGAAGTGCTGGATTCTGCCATGCAAGCCTTCCTTCTGGAGGTTATTGTTAAACATGGGGAGCCAGCGCCTTATTTATGTAACAAAGATCCTTTTGCCCTGAAATCCTTGACTTACCTTGCTAGGTTATTTCCCAATGCCAAATTTCTCCTGATGATCCGAGATGGCCGGGCATCAGTGCATTCGATGATTTCTCGAAAAGTAACCATAGCGGGATTTGACCTGAACAGCTACAGGGACTGCTTGACCAAGTGGAATCGGGCCATAGAAACCATGTACAACCAGTGTGTGGAGGTTGGGTATAAAAAGTGCATGATGGTCCACTATGAACAGCTTGTCTTACAGCCAGAACGGTGGATGAGAACGCTCTTGAAGTTCCTCCAGATCCCATGGAACCATTCAGTTTTGCACCATGAGGAAATGATCGGGAAAGCTGGGGGAGTGTCTCTGTCAAAGTGAGTACATGCAGTGTTTGCAGTGTTTCTTCTTTCTGACCCTGTATTCAAATGATGGAGATGTAAAAGTGTGCCATTCACTCAGGCCACACACACACACACACACACACACACACACACACACGATACAGAGACAAGCTTCTGTGAGTCCAAGGCCAACCAGGTCTGTGAAGTGTTGCAGAGCAGTCAGGGCCACAGAGACCCTGTCTCAAGAAAGAAGAGAAAAGATATAGGCAAGTGTTTGTGCAGTGCTGGGGACAGGGCTGCTGGGCAAACCCTGTACTGAAGTCACATCACCAAGCTGAATTTAGAAAATGTCACAGGGACGGATAAGAACATCATTATCTCCTGCAGGTAGGAGGTTGATCAACCACAGAAAGAGCAAGGCCAGATTAGACTCCAGAGCTTGCCACTGGTGGTCTCTTGTATTTTTCCAAAGGACTGAACCGCATTCCTTGCTTCTTTGGGTATGTGAAAGATACATTGTGTTTTTACAAAAGGCTAGACAATCTCCAAAATTTGGGCACCTAGTTCATATAAGAAGATTGTTAGTTCAGTATGCATACAACAGTGATTTTAGCATTGGTGACATGCCAGTGTCTGCTTTCTTTCTCCTGAACTAGCTGTCCTGGCACTGATAATCTGTTGGTGACTTTTATTCCTACAGTGAGGTCATGCGTATAGAAGTTGCTGCTACATTCAGTAGAGTAGGGGCTGGAGAGACGGCTCAGTGGTTAAGAGCATTGTCTGTTCTTCCAGAGGACCCCAGTTCAAGTCCCAGCACCCACGTGGCAGCTCATGATTGTCTGAAACTCAAGTTCCGAGGAATCTATGACACCCTTACACAACAGACATGCAGGCAAAACACCAATGTACATAAAATACAAATAAATAAATTTTTAAAAAATTGAGGAGAGTAAATTGGTTATACTTAAATTTCACTTTTATTCCTATATATTCCCCTATAAAATTAAGATAAAAAAGCATATCACATACTTCCAGCATACAGTGGTACAGAATATCCATTCCTGCTCCACAGTGTAGGGAAGGGGCACAGTGAGGAAATAATGGACCAAAGCAAGACCAAAAACCAGTTAGGCTAACCCCAAACTCTGTGCGCTCTCTTTCTTCTTTGTGTATGTGTGTGTGTGTGTGTGTGTGTGTGTGTGTGTGTGTGTGTGTGTTTACTGGTGATCTTACTATTTTATTCTGGAAGCTCATTCATCTTTTTTAAAAAAAGATTTATTTGTGTGCTATGTGAGTGCAATACCAGTAGAGACCAGAAGAGGCTATCAGGTTGTCTGGAGTTGGAGTCAGGGTTGTGAACTGCTCGACATGGGCGCTGTTGGCCAAGCTTGGGTCCTTCCCAAGAGCAGCAGGCACTTTCACTTTGTCAGCTTTCCAGCCCCTCTTCCGTCTTATTTTCTGCAGCAATTAAAAAGAATGCATGATACTTTTCAAATTTTGATTAGATGATGGGTATGGTGGCATATGTCTTGACTCTCAGCTCAGGAGACAGAGTTTAAGACCAGCATGACCTATATAGTGAGTTCCATGCAAGCCAGTTGACACCCTGCTTAGTTGAGATCCTTCCTCAAACAAAACAACCCCCCCCAAAAACCTATCAAGATTTTATTTGAGGGTTTTTTTAAAAAATTGTTCATGTCATTGCTTGGAATATCACTATCTATGGAATAGCTTTTAAATGTGTTTCATAATCCCCGATTTATTCATGTTTTGTTTGATTATTTTTCTCATTACTCATTACGTTTTTCTGCTTATCTGTGCGCCAGACATTGTGAATATTACTATTTTGGGTCTTGGATATTTTTGTACTTTCTATAAATACTCTAAAAGTATTGAGCCTTGTTCTGGAGTTCATTTAAATTACTTGGCCAGATTGAGTGTTTAGAATTTTGTGTCTATGGTTTATTTGGTGAGTGAAAGAACTGCTTTATGCTTTCTACGAATAAGGCCTTCTTGAGTACTGTCTACTGGGTAGAGTTTCCCACCTGCTGGGTAGGAGCAGGCTCTGTTCTGTTGCCATAGAAGGGCTGGACAGAATTCCCTATGCATTGGTTTGCATGTTTTTCCCCCTTATCACAGCTCCAGAATCCCTCTGTCTCTGTTCTCAAAGCTCCAGCTACTCGCCTTTCGTTGGACTTTCTGTTCCATTTTTTTAAGTGTCTGCTGACCCAGCCTTCATGGTGGGACGTGTATCATATAGCCCAGAGTGGCCTTGAGCTCCCTATATAGTTGTATCAGTCAGGGCTCACTAGAGTAACAAAACTTATAGAATGATTCTCTCTGTCTCTGTGTGTGTGTGTGTGTGTGTGTGTGTGTGTGTGTGTGTGTGTGTAAAGAGGATTTATTGAAACGGCTTACAGGCTGCAGTCCAGCTAACCCAACAATGGCTGGCCGTGAATGTAAAGTCCAAGACTCTAGTGGTTGCTCAGTCCACAAATCTGGATGTGTCAGACGGTCTTTAGTGTATGCTGGAGTTCCAAAGAGGTTCCAGTGCCAGTGAAGGAATGAGTGTGCTAGCTAGCAAGGCCAGGGCAAGCAGACAAAGAGCAAAAGCTTTCTTCTTCCATGTCCTTAGATAGGTTTCCAGCAGAAGGTATGACCCCGATTAAAGGCGGGTCTGTAACGGAGGTTTCTCTCCTGTCCACCAGTTCCTGAATAACCACTCTGAGGCTTAATACTAATTACTTAAAACTGTTTGGCCTGTTAGCTCAGCCTTATTATTAACCAACTCTTACAATTTAAGTTAACTCATTTCTATTATTCTATATTTTACCATGAGACTTGTTGCTTTGTTCCTCTCATCTTGCTTCCCTTGCGACTGCTGGCTGGCGTCTCCCTCACTTCTGCCTTCTTTTTTTCCTGTCTCTCTGCTTGAATTTCCTGCCTGGCTCTATTCTGCCTGGCCATTGGCCAAATCAGCTCCTTTATTAACCAATGGTATTCACAGCATAAAGGAAGGCATCCCACATCACGAATCTTCCCACCTCAAGATCAAAGGTGTGTGTCTTCCTGCCTCAGAGGTCCAGACTAGAATTGGATTTACCCATTTCAAACCAAGCGAAAGGTCTCTCACAGGTGTGCCCTCCATTTCCTTTTTTTTTTTTTTTTTTTTTTGGTTTTTTTGGTTTTTCGAGACAGGGTTTCTCTGTGGCTTTGGAGCCTGTCCTGGAACTAGCTCTGTAGACCAGGCTGGTCTCGAACTCACAGAGATCCGCCTGCCTCTGTGCCCTCCATTTCTGTATTGTAGTTCACTCCAAATGTAGTCAAGTTGGCAACCAGAAATAGCCATCACAATAGTCAAGCGTGGTCTTGAATTTCTGACCCTCCTACTTATATTTCTGGACTGTTGGAACTTCAGGAACGTGCCACCAATCCTTCCTGTCTTCCTGTCATGTGTTAATATGTTCTTGTTTTTATAGTTGCAGCTTTCCTGTTCTGAGTGCACAATTTTCTGCTCTGTATCTGTAACATGATTGTGTTACTTTTCAGTACGTATTCCTAATGTGTAGAGGCTGAAAGAAACCTAAGGCTTTTGTTCTCTTAACAACTGCGTCTCAGCCATCTTGGCTGCTTGTGTAATAACAGCTTCTGGACTCCATGCAAGGGTCATGGTTACTGCCGTTTCATTGGAAACCCAGTATCATTTATCACATTATTTGAGTGCAGACTTTTCTGTTATTGTTTTATCATAGGTTCACAACATTGTAAATGCGCATTAAGTTGATTTAATAGGAATCGAGGAAAGAGGCCTCTCCAAATGGTTTTAAATGTTTTGCTGGGGACTGGAGTGGTGGTTCAGTGGTTAGAGCACTTGCTGCTCTTACAGAAAACCAAGTTCAGTTCCTGGACTCCCAGTGAATGATTCACAACTTCTCCAGTTTCGGGGGCTCTGATGTTCTCTTCCGCCTCCACTGACAGCTGCACACATGAGGTGCACACATACAATCAACAATCAAATAAATAAATATCAGTAAATCTTCAAAGAAAGACTGAAATGAGGCTGGGAACTAGCTGTTCTTCCTGACTCTCATCATGGCTTACAGCAGTATGTAATTCCAATTCCAGGGGGATCCTAAGCCCTTTTCTGGCCTCTGTACATATCAAGCACACACATGGTGCACATACATACATGCAGGCAAAACATTCATATACATAAAATAAAAATAAATCAATCATAAAATGTTTTCTGGAGACCAGTGAGTTATCAGCAGAGAAGGGTGCTTTCCATATCCACGGAAGGAGAGAGCCACTTCTTCCAAGTCCTCTTGCCTCCATACTCGTCCTTGCACGGTCTCCTAAAAATGCAAATGATAAAAACCGATTCTGAAAACGTTTCCTGGGCAGGTGAGATGACTCTGGCTAAGTCAGTCGTGTGTTCAAGGCTGATGACCCGAGTTTCATTCTGATCCTGGGACCCAACGGGTAGAAGAAAACTGACTGGGGGCTGGAGAGATGGCTCAGAGGTTAAGAGCACTGACTTTCCTTCCAGAGGTCCTGAGTTCAATTCCCAGCAACCACATGATGGCTCACAACCATCTGTAATGAGATCTGGTGCCCTCTTCTGGCATGTAGGCACACATGCAGACAGAACATTGTATACAGAATAAATAAATCTTTAAAAAAAAAAAAGAAAACTGACTCCTTACAAGCTGTCCTCTGATCTTCATACGCGCAACACACGCACACACACACACACACACACACACGCACACACACGCTCACACGCAAAATAAACAAGTAATAATTAAAAACAAAATAGTTTGCTGTTTAGGGTGACATAAAAAAAGATGATGCAGGGAAGAACTGGGATTTTCTTCTTCCGTGTGAGAAACACACACGTACACAACCTACAGGAAAATAACCAAACCTGTGAGCATCAAGTTTTTTAGAAATCTAGAAATTACATAAAAGCTCAAAACATCTAGGGGGCCGGAGAGATGGCTCAGCAGGTAAGAGCACTTGTTGCTCTTGGA